TATATATATATATATATATATATATATATATACATATATACATATATACATATATGCATGTATACATACATACATATATACATATATACATATATACATATATTTTTTGCGTATATTTATAGGAAATTCGTATACATATACGTACCTTATGGATATAATTCACATAAATTATTTAAATATTTATCCAAGACCTCAACATAATGATGAATTAATTCACATATATACAAATATACATATATACATATCCATATACATATACATATACATATATTTTTGTGTATATTTACGAAATTCGTATACGAGTACGAGCTTACCTTATGGAAATTAAAGATGAGATCTAATTCGCATACATTACCGAAATATTTATCCAAGACCTCAACATAATGATGAATTAATTCACATATATGCAAATACATATTCATATACATATACATATACATATATTTTTGCGTATATATACGAAATTCGTATACGTATACAAATATACGTATATTTATACGTACCTTATGGAAATTAAAGATGAGATCTAATTCGCATACATTACCGAAATATTTATCCAAGACCTCAACATAATGATGAATTAATTCTAATATAAATAAAGGATTCTCTTTATTACATACACAACCTATAAAATATAAACTTGCATATCTGTATACATATACATATATACATATATACATATATATATTTATTTATTTATTTATTTATTTATTTATTTATTTTATTTTATTTTATTTTATTTATTTATATTTATTTTATTTATTTTGTTTTTTTGCTTATTTATTTATCTATTATATGTATATATACATATATACGTATTTATATATAGATATATTTATATATGTATATATTATGTATATATTATGTATATTATTATGCATGCATAAACAAGAAAAGACAAATAAATATATACGTGTCTTTATTTATTTATTTATTTATTTATTTATTTATTTATTTATTTATATATTTATTCGTGTCTTTGTCTATATTTATTTATTCGTGTATTTGTGTCTATTTATTCGTGTCTTTATTACTAAATAAATAAATAAATAAATAAATTAATTAATTAATTAATTAATTTATAATAAATAAATAAATAAATAAATAAATAAATAAATAAATAAATAAATAAATAAATAAATAAATACCTTTTATAGACTAATTTAGTGTCTCCTTTCCATTCAACAACATTACATTGTCTTGCATTTCTTTGTAAAACTTTTGCTGCTGCTTCCTTAATTAATATATTTCTTTCTTTATTATTGCTGCTGCTGCTGCTGCTGCTGCTGCTGCTGCTGCTTCCTGCTGATCCTGCTGCTGCTCCTGTTCCTCCTCCTGTTATTCTTCTTCCTTCTCCTTCTGTCTCCCAATCACCAAACCAACGACATAAACGAACTTTCCCTTGACGAGAAACTAACAACAAAAAATAAAACATCTTCTTTATGCTGCAGCTGCAGCAGCAGCAGCAGCAGCAGCAGGAGCAGCAAGAGCAACAGGGAGAGCAGCACGAAGAGAAGAAGAAGAGGGAGGAGAAGAAGGAGAAGGAAGAGGTGTATATATATGTATAAATTAATAAATAATTAAAATAATAAAAAGAAAAAAGAAATTTATTTTTATATAAATAAAGAAAAATATAAACAAACAGACAGCCGCGTATGCGGCTGTCTATGTATGTATGTGTATACACAACAATCTTTTTCCCCTTTTCATGTATTTATTTAATAAATAAATTAAATTAATTAATTATAATTAATTATAAAATAAATAAATTCAATTCTTTAACTACATCGGTATAAAAAAAGATGCAAAAAGAAGGAAGAAAAGAAGGAAGAAAAAAAGAAGAAATATTCCCTACTGTTGTTGTGCTGTGGTGTCTGTACACCTAAAAAGAAGGAAAACTTCCTCTTTTTTTATGTTTTTCTTCGTAAAATACAAACAAAAAACATAAAAAACATCCAATTATTCAATTAAATACACATTTACCCTCTAGGGTTTAGGGTTTAGGGTTTAAGGTTTAGGGTTTAGGGTTTAGGGTTTAGGGTTTAGAGGCTGCTGCTGCCTATACACCGCATGCGGCGGCTTCCTTATATAATATAAATAGTATTCGTATTAAGGGGTAAAAAGAAGAAAAAAAAAGAGGAAATAAAAAGAAATAAATAATTAATTCTTTTTTTTTTAATTATTTATATTTTTATTTATTATTAATAACAAGAAAGAAATATTTATTAACAAATACGCATAGGCCGGTGTTCTTTATATATACACATAATAAATAAAAAATAAATAAATAAATAAATAAATAAATAAATAAATAAATAATTATTCTTTTTTGTTTAAAGGTTAATTTATATTCGTTAAATTAACTATTTTAGTTCTTTTTCTTCTTTTTTTCTTTTTTTTTTTTTCTTCTTTTTCTTATCGATAATCTGCACGCACAAAGAAGAGCTGCCTATACACCGCAGATTTATTCTTATTAATAATAATAAAATAAGAATAAATC